GTTCTCTGTGCTTCTAACCTTATTCTAAGTGTTGAACACTAAATAAAACAAAAGAAGTATTAGTTCAGTTTCGTAATGATTTGACTGTTCGCTGGCTACATAAGTATATAACAGTTTTTAATTCGCTTTATTGCCGAACGTTTACCTGATTTCCAGCACGTCAGGGTATATTAAGTATATCGTACTTTTTCAACTGGATGAAGCTACTACTAAATAATGAAAAAGGATGGAACTGATAGCATCCAGCTAAGTAAATACTTTTAAAATATATAACCAGTCTTATCAAACAGAATATAATGAATATAAGTAACCGAAATATAAAATTTGAAACATAAAAGTTGCTACATAAAATTTTACGCGAATAGATAAGCCATAAGTTAGTAAGCAAATAAAGACCAAATAATCATCGTTTGACACAATATTTCATTGGTTATCATTATATGACACAATATTTCATTGGTTATCATTATATGACACGGTATTTCATTAGTTTATAATCATGTGACAAAATATTTCATTTGGTTATCATCACGCTGTGACACTGTATTTTATTTGGTTATCGTTATATGACACAGCATTTTACTTGGTTATAATCATGTGACAGCATTTCATTAATTTGGTTATCATCATGCTGTGACAAGGCGTATAATTCATGTGTTTAGATACGACGTTGTACGTTACAAGATTGCTATCACATAACACGTTACGTCTTTCTGCAATGATACAACACCACAAGCATTGTATTATCTCCCGCTCGGCATGCATTTCTACATTGTTCTTCATTTTCTTTTTTTTTTCTTTGTCTTTTGCCCACACAATAGCGGCCGAACGGGTTTGACTTCCAAATAAACATCGAAAAGAAGAAAAATAATGAACGATAATAGAGCAGAAATAGTTTGGTCAAGGTCACGTGAGCATAATAGCTGGAACTGGTGTAAGTTACTGACGAGAGTTTACACATTTTCACTGTTGTTAAACGAGTAATGTTAATAGAGCATGTATAGAAATGTCAAGGTGTTTTCTATGTGGCCTACCACTTATAAGAAAATGAGCTGCTACACTTGTAAGTCTGGTCTTCCTACATTTCTGCCATTGTTTGATGGACAACAGCCAAGGTTAAATTTTACTTATTCTGTAAAGATGAATGAACAGCTGAGGAAGAAAATACGACGGGAACATATACAGTGCATTAAGTTAGCAGGTTTGAAAAACTTTATACACTTTGAAGTATATCATGTCCATACTCGTATTGAGGTAAAAAAAAATGAGTCTCGTGCAAAATGAGACTTATTTTGCTTCTTTATTGAGGTGCATATGTTTAACAGAACATATGTTTGTTAGATTTTGTTTCGTTTTTCTTCGCATTTTGTTTTCAGTTTACATTTTAATTAAACTTCACAAAGAAATTGCAAAGGATTTTCAAGTTGCATCTGAGGAGCCATCTGTATACTTTGAAACAGACTACTGACATATCATCTAACAGTTACAAGTCCTTTGTTTCTTCTATGTGTTTATTATAACACTAACAAGCCTTTAATGTATTCTAGGTACCACTTGTGAGAGTTACAAGCCTTTAATCTGTTCTAGATGCTTATTGTGAGAGTTACAAGCCTTTAATCTGTTCTAGATGCTTATTGTGAGAGTTACAAGTCTTTAATCTGTTCTAGATGCTTATTGTGAGAGTTACAAGCCTTTAATCTGTTCTAGATGCTTATTGTGAGAGTTACAAGCCTTTAATCTGTTCTAGATGCTTATTGTGAGGGTTGCAAGCCTTTAATCTGTTCTAGGTGCTCATTGTGAGATTTACGAGCTCTTAGTCCGTTCTAGGTGTTAATTATAACACTAACAAGCCTTTCATCTGTTCTAGATGCTCATTGTAAAGTTACAAGCCCTTAGTCTCTTCTAGATGTTCATTTTAACAGTTAAGAGCCTTTAGTTGGTGCCAGATGCTCACTATAACAGTTATAAGCTCTCAGTCTGTTCGATGTATTGATTGTAATAGTTACAAGCCTTATGTGTTATAGGTGCACACTGTATCAGTTATAAGCTCTCAGTCTGCTCAAGGTGTTCATCGTAACAGTTACGAACTCTCAGTGTGCTAAAGGTGTTTTCATCGTGACAGTTACGAGTTCGAAGTGTTGATCATAACATACATGCAAGTTTGTCTGTGTTTCGTCACCGTTTAGATAATCGAGTTTTTACTTGTTATTCTTTGTTTCTATTTATTCCTTGAGCGATATAATAACATATGACGAGTGTTTGTTTATTATTATTATTATTTCAACCAAAGCTGTATTTGGTGTTCGTATGTTTCGTCAGTTTAGAAATATCCATACGAGAAGGGTACGAAGTTTTGACCTGTGGATTACCTGTAGCTATCATATAAGTATTACAAAGTAACAGAAAACACGAAGTTTCTGCACAGTTTTAGTGATATATCACATTCAAAGATGGTTCTTTTTTACGTCGTTTTGGGGGATTATAATATCATTTAAGCAATTCAAACAACAGCTGTGAATAACTGAATCGTTTTAGTTAAGATGTTTATAGTATATTAGTGTACCATCTAATACAAGTCTCCATGTGTAAAATGAACTATATTGTCAAGAACTCATTTACTGACACAATAAAAATCAATTATATGGATGGAGGAACACCATAAAGATATGTTCAATCCATAAAACCAAGCTAGTGAAACAAAAAAGATCAGTTAAAAATTAAACACAGTGTAGAGGAAGTGTTATTACACACTTTTCTTACTGCATGCGATTTTTGTTTAGCTTCGAATTGCAGCACTTGGCCCTTGGAAAACTCAGAGAAAAATTTTCAAGTTTTAGCCACACGGAACGTGCAAGAGTTTCTTGAACTGTGATTGTGCCTGAAATTTATCATAAAATTTCCTGTGGTGAAAAAAATATTTAAAATTGTTTTGAGAAAGAACGTTTGTTTGTTTAAGAGCAAAAACTACATTGGGCTATAAGCTGTGTCCACCGCGGAGAATCGAACCTGGGATTTTAGCGTTGTAACTCTGTAATCTTACAACTGAAGAAAGAGCGAAAAAAATCTATGCAAACATTTAGTTTCACCTTATCTTAATTATTAAATAATAAAGTATTTATAATTGGTGAATAATGTAATAGGTACCACTGTTCCACTTGAATTATAAGTGGCTTTAACATCAAAGCTGTATCTTTCTGCAATAACACTAAAAATTATGTAATAATCCTTTTGTTCATCATATTTTTAAATCATCCAGCAAGACAGGTAAGCTTTAAACACCTCTTTATTGATTTTAGAGGATGACTTATTTAACAGTTGTTCAACAAATTGATTGGACGAACTTATATATATATTCAAACCGTTCCCCAGTGGTCAAGCAATAAGCTTACGGACTTAGAACCCCGCTGATTTTTCCAAGCCCGTTCCCTTGGCTGTGGTTTCGCTAGAACCCCGAATTATATCGTTAGAATCACCGTGGTGGACAGAGCTTAGAAGGCCTTATTTTGTAGCTGTGCACTAAAACAAAGAAGCACGTTCAAAACTAAATAAGAACAAAAGCAGAATTTAAGGTTAAGTAACTGGACGGTAGATAAACTGGTCAACTAATTTACGTGCTGTCCTTAAGTCCTAAAAATAAGCATTGAATAATGTTTTCGCGACCTAAAAATAAACAAGTCAAAAGCACGTACATTAATTCCATTTCAAACAATAAAACACAAAGACTACTTAAACAGACATTTTCTTTGTCACGTGCTTTAATTGCATTGTAAAGCAAACATTTCAAGTCCTTCTTTTGCGTGTTTTTGTTGTTGTTTTTTTTTTATAGAAGCTGGAAGAAATGAAGAAGAAAAAGAAAAGTCATAATTTGTAAAGGAACTGCGTGACCGCCAACAGAGTGAGTTTTTTTTTTGTTTTGCTTTATTTTTTATTGCCGACTAAATAAACGCCTTAATTTACTCGTTGAAATTTTATTTTCATCCATTCACCGTATGCGGTCATGCGAAACACATACAAGCTTTAATTTATACGTCAAAGTTTCTTCTTATATTTTTAAAAGAATGTCATTTTGGCCTCATTCCCATTTCATTTGAAAGGACAGGGTGGTCTAAAAATGTAGCTCCACCCGCTAAGCCTAATACTGTACCTTTTAAAAAGTCGTTGTTGTTTGTTATTAAGCACAAAGCTACACAAACGGCAATCTGTGCTCTGCCCACCACGGGTATCGAAACCCGGTTTCTAGCAGTATAAGTCCGCAAACATACTATAATGTAATTTATTCAGTATTCCTATTTTCTGTAATAAAGAATATGTGCTTTTAGATAGGTTATTTTTTAGTATATCACGTAAAATTATTGTGGAGTAACAACACAGCCTAAATTATAATTCATAATTTTTGTGCGTATAGAAGATACAGAAAGAAAAAATAAAGAAATAAATAGAACGTTTTAACTGAAATTCGTGATGTAAATGCTTTTAAATTTATTTTCCTTTTATGTATAACAGATTGCGCATGCTTATATTTTACAGTACTTTCTATTATCTATATCAATAATATTTTAAATGTGTCTTATAAAATCTAGGAGTATTGAATTTGAAAGTCCTGTTGTTTAGATGTCACACAGCTCTAAATGTTTTAAATTACACGTTATCATTAAGTTTCTTTTTTTGCTACCCCTACTTCATTTTCCCAAAGAGCATTTATTAAGATGGTAGTTTTTTTAAAGTATATTTTGACCTCTGATTGAGATATCTTTCCAACAAGAAAATTAAGATGGCAAAATACATCATAAATAGGCTTGTGTAAATTAATGTCACTCACCAACTTCAGCCACCCTAGCCTACTTGAGCTTGTTGTTTGTGTTTATTACAAAGCCGTTATTGGACAGTTTAATCCACAAAGATCCCCCCTCGTTCCCATTGTCAACCCAGCAATGTATCTAAGTGACATCGATAAATCCCGGTCCAAACGAGATTATACGATAACAAGGATTGTGACTTACCTCTGGGGAACCAAAATCTCCTGAGAAACTAGATTCCCGTGCTGGCGCCGATAAGGCTTAGTTCTTTAATCTCGAACAAACCAAACAAGACTGTAGCTGTGTAATCCTAAATGTTCTTTCCTCAACTACAGGTTATTTTTCTTTCACATGTGGTGCAAAGTTGAAAGACTTTACTGTCAGAAGAGTATTACAGTCTCGTATACCTTAACGTGGTAACTTTCCTCCCACAACACACGTCAAAGATATCTTCGTCGCTACCCACATGTGTGAGTCCTAACGAGTGATCAAGTCGAGCATCTCTCGAGTAGCTAGGTGTGGGGAGAAACCCTGTTTCATTGGAGTTAAGAGAAAGTCACATGACAGCCAAGAGACAGATCGGGAAGAGGCTGGCAGGGACTGTGTGGCGGCAAGCAACACGTGAAACCTCTTGTGAGGCTGGACACATCATGCTCGAGCTGCTCAATTCTCCGTTGCGTTATAAAAGCTATGGTACCTACCTCACGCGGGCACTAACGCTAGCTGAACTGATTACGGTAGCCGAGGACCTGTTAGGCATGAAAAGGCATTAACTCCAAACGGCGGTAACATACATTGTATGTTCTACGCGAGCGTCCTTTGGACATTGGCCTCGAATTCTAATGTGATGTGAACGTAATTTGAGTTGAATATTTGTTAGTGGGAATTATTTGCGGCTTCTTAATGACAAAATATATTGTTAAACGACCAATGATGGAACTTCTTACTCGCAAAAATGACACTTACGATAAAGGGGCCGTATAACTATAAATATTCTTATTGTTCAATTACCGGAGAGCACATTAGTTTCATTAACATGTGACATTAATTCTTAGAAGTAAAATAAACTATTTCAACAAAATCTCAACTTCATAAAGCTTATCAAATCTCACAAGGGATGTTTCCCATGAGCATCGTTGGGTCTTTGAGGATTAATAAAATAACATATAACAACAGATCCTCCGTCGAAAATAGTGCTAGTTTGGTAACATAGAAAATCAGTTAAAGAAAATAGAATCAGAAAAATAAAAGAGCAGAATGTCAGTTGTTCAAGACTTACTTACAGCAGTCGCCATCTGGTATTATTTATAAGTACTTTTCTGATATAAATGACGCTAAAACTGAACAATGTTTGTAGTATTTTATCATTCGATATGTTTTATTAAGACTTTAAGTTGTTCCTCTACACATATATAAGGTCTGGTTTAGGTTTAGTTACCCCTTCTCAACAGATGAAGCATAGTAAAAAGACAAAGAATACACATCTCTTGACATTTGACCTTAGGACATAGATATTTCATTCTGCACCCTTTCAAATGGTGAACTAACACACACACACACAACATACTACAACAGTATTCACAGCAGTATTCGTTAGACATATACGCAAATATACTCAAATTTAGATATATTTGCATGATATCTCTATAAATCTCTCTGTGAAAACTATTAAAATCATGTTCTGCTATTGTATCTCTTGAGATTTTGATTTTTTTTGTCATTTTAAAAGAAGATTAGGAATTTGAATACAACTTTCTTGCTAATTTTATTTATTAAACGAAACAAGTGCTTTGTCCATCAGCTAAAAGGAATGCTAATTTCAAAAATTAAGATTAACAACAAAATTTATAAGAAGAAAAGTAAATGATTCAGAATTAAAGCATGAAACAATCATAAGATATTTTGCTACAGGAAAAAGGGTGTATTTACACCCTTGTTGAAACTCCTAATGAGGTCTTCACTGAATTGTTCTCCTTTTCACTGTTAAAATGATTAGATATCACAAGATGTGACGGAAAAGTTTGTTTTCTTTCACATAAGTATGACTAACGCACACCTATTTTGCTGATACGATTAATTATCGAAGGGGTAGGACGTGAGCTGGTTTTGCACGTTTGAATAACTGGAAAGTTAGCTTTCAAGGAGATAAAATAAAGTGGTAGTATCTTATTATTTCTCTTGTGTTCCAAGCCGCCAACATAAACCTAACTGTATCAGTACTGGTTGTGACAGAGAAATCTTTCATAAACACCTGAAAAACAACTTTCGAGGTCGAACAGATGCAATCTCATATAAATAACAAGAGTTATTCTTTAATCATCTGTTTTAGTATTGTGTTCAGAAGTGGACAAAACTATTTAGTAAAAAAGATACTAGGATTACGACGTTTGAGACTAAATAGGCAGATAGATTTAATCATGTTAATTAACAAATGAAAATATATAAGTATTCGTAATATTAGCTTAACTAGTATATTGTCCATGAACATTCATTGCGAACAACAACTGCATAAAACATTATGCCACCTAGATTTGAACCAACATTTGTGTACTCTCGAACTTCACGAGATTTCCATCATCTCAATATGGGGATGAAGTTGAGACTTTTTTAAGATCTAAAAGTAGATTCTTGTTTTGAATATCAATACTACATTTAGAATTAGTACTACTTTTAGATATCAATACTACTTTTAGATACCAATACTACATTTAGAATTAGTACTACTTTTAGATATCAATACTACATTTAGAATTAGTACTACTTTTAGATATCAATACTACCTTTAGATATCAATACTACATTTAGAATTAATACTACATTTAGAATTAATACTACATTTAGAATTAATACTACGCTTAGAATTAATACTATTTTTAGATATCAATACTACATTTGAATATCACTACTACATTTAGATATCAATACTACATTTAGAATCAATACTACATTTAGATATCAATACTACTTTTAGCTATCAATACTACTTTTGATGTGAATCCAATACAGGGAGTTCCCAAACCTCTATGATCCACCTTTACTCTCATGTGGATATCCCACTAGCAAAATTTCGTGCAAGTCTGTAGTTCCTGTTCTTAAACTTCTCCAAAACCACTTTAACCCCCATATAGTGCTTCAGTTTAAACTTATTGCTTAGAAAGACTCCTTATATGACAATACCAGTTTCCAATATAATCGGTTCAGTCAAAAATGAAAGCCCTAAAATTTCCCTTGATTCCCCATTTCTGGGACCTACTCACAACTCTTTCGAACATTTTCCCATCGTTTATGTTCTGTGAGGTCAAGAGCCTAAATGTAAAATTTCATGTTGTTTGAGAAATGTTGTAGCAAACACAGAAAAAAAAGATACCAATCTAGAATTACTATACAGATATTAACCTAATATATCATACAAACACAGGTCCATTGCAAGTTTCCAGCCGGCGCACCGTATGTTGTATTTTGTAAAAGTACAATATATTTGGCACACTGGATCTTCTAACCAGATACAATAATCAGGATGTGTTTTATGTTTACGAAATGAGCAAGTGGGAAAACATTTCTACTTGGTAAACTTTATTCGGGTTTTACGAGTCTTTTTTTCTCAAACTGATTTACCTCTTCTGCGATACTTGTAACTGCGTTTCAGGCTTCTTGCTTTATTGACAGAATCGTACACTTTGGCTCGCTTCAGGCAGTGCACGCTTTCCAATTTCTACCCATTTATTTTGTTAAACAGACTCAAGAAGGTGGGGTTATTTATAAATTAAGAGTTCATCGCTTTGGAAAGATGTGATAATAATGACACCGATAACAACTGTACCAGTAACAATACAAAGTGGAAAAGTTTTCATTAAGCATAAGTAAAAAGCTTAAAAATACATTATTTTGTTGTTGTTTTTGTTTATTGATTTCTCTTTTGGAGAGTGGAGGGAAAATGTTTTTGTTTTTTTTTTTCTCACATTTCATTTGTACTAGTGCCATTTTTCCGGAACGCCAAACATTCCCTAAAAATGTACCAGAAACTGAGCTGGAAGTAATGCTCTGAATAAAGAATCCTTTTGCCTATCTCATGCCTTCTGTGAAAAGTATTTAACAGCTAGTTCTTTGTGAGGCACAAACTATTTAAAGAAAATCGTGCATATTTATCGCGAGAGTGAGGATTTTAAAGGTTTTAAAATATTTGTGAATTTTGATATATACAGTAATTTTAACGAACTACAGTGCAGTTTTTTTATATCTTCAAAGTGTTTCCTCCATAATTCGTTTACAATACTATTAAAGAATACGTAAGTGTTTTTATAGCATAATAAACAAATTATGAATCATAAGAAAATCATAAAAATAGAATACAATTCCCAGATATTTTTCAACTACACGTTTTTACCCATTGAAAGAATAATAATGTTGTCTAGTTATTTTTTTTCTATATAGTATCGAATGTAGTCAATATCAATAAATACAATTGTATTGCTTGATATATTTTATATTAATATACACGCGCGTTGTCAGGTGACTGTACGGAGAAGTTTAAAAAGTTACAATTCAGATACCAATATTTTATAATAATTCACTTTTATAGTGATGCCTAAAGATGTGCATGACCTTTTCTATCCTTATATGCCTGAAAGCGTCCTTAAAAAAGCAATTGCAAACATTTAAAAGAGACATACGTGATAAGATCAGCCTTGTTTAAAGACGCCTGTATACGTCAGTCTCGCGAAATGTCGCCAAGTTGATCTAGTTTGTAAAGAAAGTTGTCTGTCTGAAAATAGTTCAGTTCGAGTTTTCCTTCAACCTATTAATACTCATATAAAACACCAAAACATTTATCTCCTGCACGTTTATCATGTCTCTTGAGACATAAATATTTTAATGAATTATTCCATTTTTAAATCTGCAATTAACTGTGACTAGTTTTTATAAGAAACGGTATTTGTTGAGGAAAGAAAAACGAATGTTTCAAACCCTACTTAGCCTACGTGAACAGTTGCCTCGCACGCCATCGACCGGTTTCTAAAGAGGCAGGTGAAGTTACGTTTGTTTATGATCAATCCTATCATCAGTTTTTTTATTTCTTAGATATTCGATTCGTTGATATTTTAAGGCGTGTTTTATTATATTTATTACAGTTGTACCTCCAGAAATTTTCCTTACTTCTCACACATTGTTTTTAACCCACACTTTGTAATCATGTTTCTCAGATCAAGTATATTTTAACCTTTGGAAAGTTCAAGGATTTAAAAAAAATAATAAAACTGTATATATATTAGAACAGATGCAATTATTTCATTTTCTTTTATGCTTTTCTTTTTCGTTTACAATTTATTTTCATTATCTGTACATTTGTTTCTTTGACAACAGATGAAAATGCACATCGAATTTTGAAATTTCACCAAGAAATTACTATTACTTTCTTTGTGATTTTAAACAAAACTAACAAACATGCAAGCACGTGTGTCAATTTTTTTTCTGTAAATTTACAAACATAACTATACCAAGTTTTTTGGACTTATTGAAAATGTGAAAATTTAATGGTGTTTCACAAAGCAGGTTTTGATATTTGTCTAAGTAACATGTATAGCTTGCAATTTTGGTCTTGGCTATTTTGACGAAATATTTGGTTATTTTTTGCTTACCTGTTTTGTTGTTTTTAATTTATGAATGACCTGTGAAAAA